TTAGATAGGTAAGTATTTTGGTATTTTTTATGCTTTCTGATTGCCTCCAGGTAGATGTGATCAGGAAATGGGCTTCCCTTTTCACTCTTCTTTTTGAGAAATTTCAAGATGCCACTGTTGGTCATTTTGACGGAACTTAGGATTTAAATTTCAGCCTATTTCCTTTCTTGTCTGCTTGTCCCACTCCACAATCCCCATTCAGGCCTTTTTTCTAGTTGGAAACAGTTCAGGGCCGGCTGTGACTGTTTGGTTTTAATTAGAAACTGTCTCTTTAAATTTCAAGGAGATCTGTGTGCATGCGTAGTAGAACGCTCCGAGAGTGGGGCTGGGGTGCCCACTAGCTCAGGCACCCCTATAGTCACCAGAATGGAGGTGCACAGACAGAAGGAACCAATGAACAGCTACCAAATAACATCCACACCTTTATCTCTGTAGTTCTGCCAGGCATCTGTGACCACTCCGATCCTTCCCCCACTTGGTCTCACCCAAGATGGTGGCTCCTCGAGCAGCTGAGCATCTTGAATTAGAAAGCAATGGATTTCTTGCTTCTGTCACAAATTCCCCCAGCTGTAAGCCTTCCAACCTTCTAAATATTCCTTTATATGTGATTCAGAGTTCTGGGACCATCCCCTGAGCCTACTTGGTCGGGTATTCTGTGTTGTTGCTGGCGGAGCTCCTTACTGCACTTCCACCTGATCTGCCATCTTGTGAATTAAATGAAGTTTTACAGACAAGACTATCAGTTTTACATTCAACATATCATACATTTTGTTTCATCTCAATGATTTCAGTCCCCTTCATGCAATAATAGTTGTCCTACTTCCTCCCTGAAGGAGGTAGCATGGTGGTTACGAGTCAGGCTGCTAATCTCAAGGTCAGAAATTCAAAACTACCAGCCGTTCTGTGGGATAAAGATGAAGCTTTCTGCTCCCATAAAGATTTACAGCCTCAGAAACCCTATGCAGGGTTGCTATGAGTTGGAACTGACACCATGGCACATAACCACCACCACCTCCACCACCACTTCCTCCATGTTTCTATTCCACCCACTTTCCCATCCCTTCTCAACTCTGTCTTTAGGCAAGTGTTGCCCTTTTGATTTTGAATTAGAGACCACTCCATTGTGAACATTACCTTCCTTGTATCATGTCCTCTCCACTATATACCTAGTTATTGCTTGACTGAAAATTGGGCCACAAGAATGAGTTCCTTTCCAGACCTGAAGGGTGGTTGACAGCTTCCTCTAGTCTCTTTCTGACCAGTAAACCCAGTTATATATGTATATGTTGTTGTTAAGTGCCATCAAATCAGTTCCGACCCATAGTGACATTGTATAGGGTTTCTGAGGAGCAGCTGGTGAACTTGAACCACTGAACTTGTGGCTCAAATGACTTTGCAGTCCAACACATTAACCCACAATGCCACACCAGGATATATATATTTATATAATTTTGAGTTTTGCTCCACATTCTGTCCCACTCTATCTAGGATCTTCTAATGTGACCCCTTTCAGAATAGTTGGTAGGGGTAGCTGGGTACCATCTAGTCCTACTGATTATCTGAAATAATTTTATGTTACTTATTTATTGTCTGAATCCTTCTGACAAGCATAAGCTTCATGTGAGCAGGGATTTCGTCTTTCTTGCTCATTTCTATTTGTTTCATTATCTAAAATGTGTGTGCTACTGAGGTGATTCTAACTCATAGTGGCCCTATGACAGGGTAGAACTACCCCATAAGGTTTCCTAGGCTGTGGCACTGTAGGATCAGCACTGGACTGTGAACCACAAAGTTAGCAGTTCAAATCCACAAGTTGTTCCTCGGGAACCCTGTACAGGGTCTCTATGGTCTGGAATGGACTTGATGGCACTAACAGCAACAATCTTTAGTGCGGGGCTGGGGAACGTCTGGCTCATAGACCGTATAAGGCCTCAAAATCATTTGGTCTGGCTCTGCCAAGGCAACAACTGTAGCCAGGACTCGAAATTCAATAAATCTCTAAGCTTTTTTCATAGCAACATAAATTTATATTAAATGATGTTATAAATATCCAAATGACACTTGACAAAAAAAGACAGAGGAAAGAAACAGATTCTTTTCTCCTACACAGGTGTTGGCTGGGTCCAACCCACTGACCTGTCAGTTAGTCATTGTCTCAATAAAGCTGTTTGAAAAATAATAACTTCAGAAACATTTGCAGAATGAATGAAGTTGGATGGCCCTAATGAACATGTTGTATGCTGTAAATTTGCTTCTGACTCACAGTGACTCTGTGTAGGGTTTCTGAAAGTGGCTGATGATTTGGACTGCTGACCTTCGGGTTAGTTGTTGTTGTTGTTGTTAAGTGCAGTTGAGTCAATTCTGGCCCATAGCCACCCTGTATAGAGTTTCCAAGGAGCGGCTGGTGAGCTTGAACCACCGATCTTGCGATTCAGATGACTTTGCAGTCTGGTGCATTAACCCACAATGCCACATCAGGACTCCTTTGGGATAGTAGTCCAGTGCTTATCATACAGTGCCACACTAGTGCTGAAGGTCTATGGTGGTGGTGCTGGTGTGCCATAAAGTTGGTTCCCGTTCATAGTGACCCTGTCTAAGGTTTCTGAGGCAGTAAATCTTTATGGAAGCAGAAAGCCTCATCTTTCTCCTGAGGAGCAGCTGGTAGATTTGAACTGCTGACTTTGTGGCTAGCAGCCCAGCTCATCATCCATTATGCCACCAGTGCTCTTCTAATGAACATTGTTGTTGTTGTTGTCAAGTACCGTGGAGTCGGTTCTGACTCATAGTGACCCTGCACAGGGTTTCCAAGCATAAGTGCCGATCAATATTGTGTAGAAAGAAAAGCTCTGGCTTGGGAGCCACAGCCCCAGAGTTTAAAAAAAAAGTTGTTGTTTTTTTTTATTTGAAAGAAAAGGAATATAAGGAATGTTGTCTTAGTTGGCCAGTGTTGCTGTAAGACCGTTGCAAATGGGTTGTAATCAAGAACAGAATTTCCTTTTCTCACAGGAGGCTAGAAGTCTGAGTTGAGTGTATCAGCTGTCTGGGAAGATTCTTGTCTCTCTCAGCTTCGGTAGACCAGGCATTCCTTGGTTCCTTGGCAATGCTCATAGGGCATCAGTCGCGTTTCAGGTGTATTTATGTGTGTCTGTGCTATGCCCTATGAATCAGAAATATTTAGGTTTAGGACCCCACTCTACACTGATATGCTCTCATTAACACAACTAAGAAAACACTCTTCCCAAATGGGATGAGATCCCCAGATATCACCCACTGATTCTGATTCATAACGACCCTGTAGGACTGAGCAGAACTGCCTTACGGTAGGAGTCCGGCTGTGGTGCTGTAGGCTAATGTTCTGGACTGCAAGGTCAATTTGAACTGCGAGGTCGGCAGATCAAGCTCAACATCTACTCCTCAGGAACCCTATACAGTGTGTCTCTAAGTGGGAACTGACTCGATGACACTTAACAACAACAATCTTTACTGCCACATCTTCCATGCAGGGACTGTTAGGTTTGAACCATCCTTTTGGCTAACCGCAGAGCTCTTAATACATGTACCATGAGCACTTCTTACCCATAACCAAACCAAAAACCAAACCCACTCCAACTCATAGTGACCCTTTATAGGGTTTCTGAGGCTGCAAATATTTATAGGAGCAGACAGCCTCATCTCTCTCCCTCAGAGAGACTGGTGGTTTTGAACCACCAACCTTGTGGTTAGCAGCCCAATGCTTATCCTACAGTACTAGCAGGTCTCCTTCTCCACATGTATTAGGAGCTCAAACCCAGTGCCGCTGGGTCAATTCCAACTCATAGTGACCCGACATAGGGTTTCCGAGACTGTAAATCTTTAGAGGAGTAGATAGTCATGTCTCTCTCACACATATGTTTGGGAGACACATTCAATCTGTAACATATGTGTTGCTGAAGCTACCAGAAGACAAAATTTAATCTTTGGTTTTATGAAGAAAGTTAGGAGCCTGATCTACTGATGACTTTTGTCTTTTTTCCAAAGGTTTCATGGAGATTGGGCTCATAGCTTCTCTGGTTGGAGGTGGCCTTCTTATTTTCATCATCCTGACGGTGGCATATGGTCTGAAAAAACCCAAGTGAGTTTATAGGCAACAATGCTGTCTTCCAAATCATGAGTGGAAAGGACTAGAAGTCACCATGGGCATGAGAGGACACTCAACCATTAAGGTGGTATTCATTCATCTATTAGTCAATATTTGCTAAGATTATTATACGCCACACCCTGTGGCCCAATAGAATTCTGACCAAACATGAGGACCCCAATGCCCATAGCTAGACCATTTTGAGGCCAGGATAGTGCCAGCTGCCCCTTAGGATTTATCTGGTTGTGTTTGCCATCTGAGATGAGAGTGGGAGAAGAGGTTCTTCTTCTCAATGTGTAGATCGGTCGCTGGCTTCCTAGTTTGTGGTGCACTGTTGCAGGGCTGGCTGCAGAATCATTTGTTCTGCCTGCCCTGGTCACTGTGGGGAAGGAAACTTTCTTCGAGAACCTGTGCTTTCCTCCCCTTCATGAGCCTCCTCAGACTGCATGTGCTGGTCAATGGCTCCTCCTCAGTAGAGCTCTTTCTCCAGAGTTGAATGGTTGTTGGCTTCTCTGCCAAGCAACTGCTTGGTTAATGCTCAAGCCAACGTTGGTCTTAGTCTCAACCGTACCTCAGTTCTACCAAGTCACCAGCACAAATTCTTGTGTGAGGGGCCATTGAAGAGTTTGTGGAAATTCTTTCAATTACATTTCCCCCCCCATGAACTTTGTGAAGGCCCCTCATACATCACTCACTTTGGCAGTCATTCTCAATCTTAAGCATGTTTCAGATTCAGGGCCACAGTGAAGGTTTCTGACTCTGTGGTTCTGAGGTGGATAATTAGAATTTGCGTTTCTAACAAGCTCCCAGGTGATGATGTTACAGATTAGGGTCACCTTTTGAGAACCACGGTACTAAAGTGTGGGCAGCTTGTAGATGTTGGTGTTCCTCTTCCCAGGGAATAGATCTCAAAGGGGTGACTGTGAAGGTGGGCGTTCAGATAGCAAGACCAGGTGTGGAGAGGAAGGGTAGGAATAGCTTTGAGTGAGGAGAGGTGGCCTCCCTTCACTACTGCTGACTCCCTCACCTAACCCTAACCTATACTACACTTGCCTCGCAGGCTGGGACTTGCCCTTCTTTAATGAGGGGGCCTCTATAGTTCACTTTAGCAAAGCCCTCTCTTTGGGCTATCATATCGGGTATATAAAATGCTTCTTGGATTCATTTTCGTTTTTCAAATCTTACCTATTAGCAAATTGAAACACCTCTGTTGGCCTGATGTCCCCAACCCTGCTGAAAGCAGTCTAGCTATGTGGTGTGGAGATGATTTCAAGGTAAACCATTCTTGTTTTGTTTTCTTTCTTTTTCCCCCTCTACACAAACAAAGGTTTATTATGGGAAAGGGGCTTGCAAACGGAGATGGGGAGGGCTTAATGCAACACTTAACTCCTAGCTCCATAAACTATTCTAGCTAAGGAAATCATTGGGCGAGCTGTGGGTGGGAGAGAGACAAGTGTGATGGGAATTTTTAGAGAGTTCACATAGAAAGAACTAGAGGCCGAAAAGTGCCATGGAATGACTGGCAGGGCAGATGGAATCGGCCTTCCTGAAACGACTATAACCTCATGCTTTGGACAAGAGGAAAGGGCATTCCCAGGCTCATGAGGACCCACCATGTGTCCAGCACAGACCTGGCGCTGTAAGGGATACTGCCCATCAAATAAACACGTCTCTAGTACCTGATGGGAAGAGAGAGAAAAAGTAAGCCCACCATAGGATATAAAAAATATATAGGAAAAAAAATAACAAACCAGAAACCCACCAAACCTGTTGCCATCTATCCAATGCCTGATGACCACATGTGCCTCATAGGGTTTATAGTAGAACTGTGCTTTAGAAGGTTTTCAACGGCTGTACTCATTTAGAAGTAAAGTTACCAGGCCTTTCTTCCAAGGTGCTTCAGATTTTTTAATGTGGATATTTTTGTCTCTATTCGTCTTATTTTTTTCCTATCTACTTTCATATTAAAAAAAAAACTTATTAAGAGTATATGACTTCCTAGACTATATTTTCTGATGGCTAAAATGCATTTCTGAATACCTTGTAGTTCTGGCGTCTACAACAAGCATTTCTTAACCACCCACTGTATGCAAGGCTCTGGGCTATGCCCCGAGGGTACAGAGATGACAAAGACAGTGCCCCTGCCACGAGGCCACCTTTGATTGATTGGAAAGTCATTTGTCTGTATTGTTATATTTTTCCATCTTTAAATGTTCTCATTTTAATGCTTGCAACTCGACTGGGATTTTGTGAGCATATAATTGTGTGGGACTAGCCTTGAGTTCTCTAGGAGAAAACAAGGTTTAACCAAAACCAGGGTGCTCTTTCTCTGTAAATGGGCTACTCTTGTCAATCTTCTGTGGAAAGGCATGCAAAGGTGACGGGCCACCACAACTAACATATGGAAGTAAACCAGGAGGTGGGAGCAGCTAGAATCCAAAGCCTAATGACTTTTTGGTTATATTCTATGTAAACCTGTTGTTGTTGTTGTTGTTGTTAAGTGCCGTCGAGTTAGTTCCGACCCATAGCGACCCTGTACAGGGCTTCCGAAGGTGTAAATCTTTACTGGAGTAGAAAGTCTCATCTTTCTCCCGTGAGGTGACTTAAAATGGTCTCATTTCCTTTTTACAGAATAAGCTAAATCTGAAGGAGGTGCAGTTTGATAATTCTGTGAACACAGAAGAAGACAGCATACTAAAACCACATTATGGCCACAGTGACCTTATTGACAAGTTGGTGGTGAACTTTGGAAATTTTCTGGAAGAAGTGTCCATAGAAAAACCTCTGAAGCACAAGAAAAACATTGCTGGAGGTGAAAAGAATGAGTATGTGACTTCCCTCTACACACCTGATTATCCCCTGGGAAAGAACTTCCAGGAGCCGCCGATTTCAGCTAAGATTCTATCCAGAATGCCAGAAGAGACCTGCTCAGAAACCAAAGAGCAACTTCTCTCTTATGGTCAAAATTTGGGGCCAGACCAACTCTGTGAGGAAGGAACACCAAACCTATACTTGAAAAATTCAGTGACAACAAGAGAATTTCTTGTGTCTGAAAAACTTCCAGACCAAACTAAGAAAGAAGTCTAAATGCCTCCGTGCCTGAGTCCCTCTCATCTCAGTGTGGATGACTCTTGATGAGAGAAGAGATCAAGGCTTAGCAAGAATCCCTTCCTTGGCTCTTTCCACCTTCTGCCTTTTAAGGTCACCCATATCCCTGAGCTTGGTAGGTCAAATATATAACTTAGTGCTGGAAAAAAGGGGCTTTGCAGAGGAAACCAGTTTAACTTCTTTTGGTCAAGTAAAAAGCTCTTACTGAGGATTCCTGACAGCTGAGTGTCGAGGGACAGGCCCCAGTTCTGTGCCGAGTGGACCCGTGAAGTGGATCTATCTGGCTTGCCGTAGGAATTGGGTCATGTTCACAGCCTTTGTTGGGGTTCTTTCTCAGAGTTCAAGGAAAGAAGCTGAACTTTTCCAGTTGCCGGAGGACAGTGTTTAGTTGGCATTTGGCAAGCTCTGCCTTTACCTTGGCCTCCCCTGGGCTCTGGGTTTCCACTCTGAGGCAGCCCTCTCAGTGTCCAGGACGGAGGAAGGGGCCTCCAGATGGTGCCTTAGGCGCTTCATTCATGAGTTGTTGTTAGTTGTCTTCAGGTCAGATCAGACTCATGGTGACCCCATATGTGAAGAATAGAGCTGCTGCATAGGGTTTTCAACATTGTGATCTTTTAAAACCAGATCGCCACACCAATCTTTCAAGATGCTTCTGAGTGGGTTCGAACTGCCAATCTGATGGCTAATAATACTTAATTATTTGAGCCACCCAGGGGCTCCTTCATTAGTGAGTTGTTATTGTTGTTATTAAGTACTCTCAAGTCAGAGTGCCCTCACTAAATCTCAGTGTCTGTATCAGCTTCCCTCCCACCTCCAAAAGGACTCCCTTTCCACACTGACCACTGACACAACCCTACACAGAGCTCTTGGTAGCAAGACTGGAGGTCTCAGATCTGTCCCACTTTCCAGACCATTCTATTAGTCAAGACCGGGAGTACCCCAGCCTGGGAGTGAAAAGGCACCACACATTGCAGTGTTCTGTGCAGGGGCTCTGCCCCTCACTTTGGCTCAGAGCCCTGGAATGCTGACTGACTTAGTCGGCCTTTTCCCAGAAGTAGCTCCGAAGAGCCTGGGAACACGCTATGCTAGCAACTTTCCTACTGTTACCGGAGGCGGACCCAGCGTAGCCCAGAACATGAGACCATTTGTCGAGTCTTTAGGCCAAGTGCTGACAGCACCATTCTGCTACCTTAAGTTTGTCTCCTGACCATGACAGTGCCACATGACTTCCTGTCCCCAGATGGCCCTTGAGAGGGAGTAGAGTCAATGAGCAGCCCAAGGAAGCAGTGACCCCAGTATTTCCCAGTCAGGAAGTTGGATAGTATTTTCTCCAGGAAAGCTTTGAAAAGTCATTACTTGTGAAGTAGGTGTGAACTTCACAAGCCACCAACTCAGACATCACTTTATTTCCCCATAAGTGAAACTAATCTCTAGCCTAAGCCCCTGACATTATGAGGTAAGCTCAGTCCAATTTGGTGAGTTCCACATTGTTTTGGGTACTCTGTCAGGATTTTTACCATCCCTACTATCTCTGAAAGGAGCTCTGGTCGCGTAGTGGTTACGAGTCAGGCTGCTAACCTCAGGGTCAGCAGTTCAAAACTACCAGCTGTTCCATGGGAGAAAGAAGAGGCTTTCTGCTCCCATAAAGATTTACAGCCTCGGAAACCCTGCTATGAGTTGGAACCAACTCCACGGCACATAACAACAACAACAACACTCCCTGAGAAGGAGCTCTGGTAGCTCAGTGGTTAAGTGCTTGGCTGCTAGCCAAAAGATTGATGGTTCAAAACCACTAGGTACTCTATGGCAGAAAAGGCAGTCTGGCTTAAGATTGTTAGTTTTGGTAACCTTGTGGTGCAGTTCTATTAGAGGGCTTCAGAAAGTTCATAAGAAAATGGAATTAAAAGATACTGGAATTTCTCCATGAAATTTTTGAAGCCCCCTTGTACTCTATCCTGTAGGGTCTCTATGAGTTGGAATCGACTTGACAGCAGCAAGTTTGGTTTTATAATTGTTACCGAAGTAAATCACCAGGACTTTCTTCTGCTATACTATGGGGGAGGTTCAGACCACTAGCCTTTAGGTTAGTAGTCAATTGCAAACTAGTTACGCCACCCAGGAACCTGCAAAATACCACAAAGTAAGAGGCTTTAAAACAGACCTTTTCTGTTTCTCACAGTTTGTTGTCACTGTTGTTGTTAACTGCTCTAGAGTTGATTCCGACCCATAGTGACCCTGTATAGGGTTTTTGAGGAGCAGCTGGTGAGCTTGAACCGCTGATCTTGCAGTTCAAAAGGCTTTGCAGTCTGGAGCATTAACCCACAGCTCCACTTTCTCATAGTTTAGGGGGCTACAAATCTCCATTGGCGTCTGACCATGCTGACTCTTCCTGAGGCTTTGCCGGGTGGAACTATCCCATAGTTCTCTCTGTTGCTGGTGGCTGCCTGGAGTCTTTGGTGTTCCTCTGCTGCATGTAGAAGCATCTGCCTCCAGAGTCCCATGGAGTCTGTTTTTCCCATGTGGCTGCTTCTGTGTCCTCCTTTTTTATAAGATACCAACAGAAGGGATTAGCACCTACCCTAATTGCAGACCTGGTGTGGCGTTATAAGCATCGGACTTCTGACCAGTGGACGGTGGTTCAAGCCCACCAGCTGCTCCTTGGAAACCCTATATAGGGTTGCTGTGAGTTGGAACCAGCTTTATGGCACTTAACCACCAATGACGAGTTGGTATGTAGGTTAACTAATAGCCCTGTGTGGAGACTAAAACTACCCCAGAGGGTCCCGAGGCTTGAGTTCCACAGGCGCAGACTCATCTCTCTCGGGAGCAGCTGGTGGGTTCGAATTGTTGACCTTTTAGTTGCAGCTGAGTGCTTAAGCACCGTGTCACCAGTGATCCTTGTATAATGAAAGTCCTCATTAAATTTCAGTGTCTGCAGTAACCTCCTTTGCCCTCTCCAGCCCTCAGCACTCCCCAGCCTCCAGCTGACCAGCTGGGCCCCTAGTTTATAGCAAACTGACTGCTGATAAGTAAAGGAATGCAGGCTCCTGGAGACAAGGCATTGGGTAACAGGAGTTGAGGTTAGTCCTCTCTGACCTCTGTCTTACTCCCATGCCTGGGAGATGAGGCTCTCTGCTCCTGTAAAGATTCACAGCCTTGGAAACCTTGTGCAGGGTCGCTATGGGTCGGAACCGACTCCAAGGCACGCAACAACAGCAGCATCTTTGAGGTGTGAGAAAATGGGTGACTATTGACCTAGTTTTCTAGGAGTCAGCTTTTCCTGCCTGTAAGGGGGCATTTCCCCCAGAATGCCAATGCTCCCACACAGGCCTGAAGGTTCCAAAAGCTCTGCTGACCTCTGCTCCTGGAATTGAGTCCCAGATGGACCGGATCTCCTTTCTGGCACCCTGGGCTGCTGCTGTGACCCTGAAGACCAGCTGGGCTTCTGCCGTGCTTAGTGTCACATGCTATGGGGACACAAACAGGAAGACGTGTGTTTTAGCAAGGCTGTAAGTACTGATCAAGTTCCTGTGAAAGGACATTAGCCTGTTAGCTGCGAGATTCGTGATCTCTGGATGGCCTTGCTGTCAAGTTGACTCAAATCCCGGCCACACATGTGGTGTCGGTAGAACTGCGCTTTCTAGGGCTTCAGTGGCTGGTGTTTTGGAAGTAGATGACCAGGCCTTTATTTTCTGAGACACCTTTAGTTAGCAGCCAAATGTACTAACCATTTCTACCACTCAAGACTCCTCTTTTGCAATAATACTAGAAAATGTTAATAGAATAGCAGAGAAGTCAATCTGTGGCTTAAACAAACAAGAACACCAGACAATTGGGCAGGTTTCTGAGAAGGCAGCCATGTGCAGACACTCTGACAGTTTGGGATTTAATAAGAGGTAGGAGCAAGGTGAAAAGAGTCAAAGTCCAGCTGGCAACCCCAGCTGCTCTTCCCTGCAAGTCTGTCCAGTTTTCTGGAGTCTGACCAGTGTCTGTTCCAATACGCCCTGAGCTGTTGTTGCCGCTGCTATGGACACTTTCCAGTCCAGGGACTGACATGCTGGCTGCTTTTGTACGTCCAGTGAGCTAAGAATGTTTTTTACGTTCTTAAGTTGTTGAAAACAAAAGCAAAAGGAGAACATTTTGTGACATGGGAAAATTACGCGAACTTTAAATTTCAGTGTCCATAAATGAAGTTTTAATGGAACACAGCATTGCCCATCATTTATACATCCACCATGGCTGTGTTTTCCCCACAAAGGCAGCATTGAGCAGTTTGTTATAGCGACTGGATCTCTTGCAAAGCCTTAAATGTTTACTAGCTGGTCCTTCACAGAAACAGTTTGCTGATCTATGAATTACTCCTCAGGCCTGATGCTTCCAGTGTATCCAAAATGTTTTCAATACTAATGACGTATGTTTTAAAACAGGTTCCATTCTGAATTTCCATCTTAGTGGTGGCTATCCCCTTTAGAAGGGGCCGCACTTTTGGGCTCCCCTCAGCCCTCACAACTTCCTGTCTCCTGTTCATAGCTGCGCCCGTGGCTCTCAATTTAGGCCATTTTTTGCCCTCCCTTCCCCAGATGTTTGTGCACTAAATGTGCACTGTGTACACACATTTTTAAAAATCAACCTAGAAAAGACTGAACCACATCCAGTCCCTTTGAAATTCAGAATATTGCATTCTGGTCCTTGTTCTCTGTGATGAAGGTGGTAAAGATGTTTGTGGCCTTTGGAAAAGATAAACCTGTTGACGTTGTAGGATCTCTTACTTTTAAGCTCCTGGTCCACTTGCTAGAAACTAGGGGCACTTGGCAAGACATTAAGGAGTACTGGTGGCACAGTGGTTAAGTAGTTGGCTCCTAATTGAAAGGTCGGTGGTTCAAACCCACCAGCTGCACTGTAGGAGAAAGATGTGGCAACCTGCTTCTGTAAAGATTACAGCTTTGGTAACCCTATAGGGCAAAACCACCACCACCACC